ACATAGAGGTTCCTTGGGGCTGCAGAGATGGCTCAGTGGTTAACAGTACTGTGTGCTCTTCCAAAAGGACCTGGGTTCAATTCCCAGCACCCACATGGCAGCTCACAACTATCTGCAACTCCAGTTCCAAGTGTCTGACACCCTCACACCAATGCACATAAAATAAAATTTTAAAAATTTAAAAAACAAACAAACAAACAAACATAGAGATTCCTCCAAAATTCGAAAATAGGGCTGGGGGACCCAGCAAGCTTAGCATGTATAAAGGTTGGTGTCTTATCCTTGGCACTACTAAACACAGAACAACCATATACTCCAGCAATCATAACACTGAGCACATATCCATAGAACAGGGGTCACAGTACAGAGGCGATATCTACACTCCCATGTTTATTATAGCCCTTTCCCAGTGGTCAACAAAGCCAGCCCACATCAATTGAGGAAGTAAGAAAAACTTACATGTATGTAATTATCTTTTAGCACCCACAGAAAGCTAGTTTCAGCGCCATCTGCAGGATCTCTAGCATAAAACAGAATTGTATTTGCAAACCATCTATACCTATCCACTTTCCTATCACCTTTTCTAGCTTCTTCCATTACTTAATGCGATGCAAAGGCTCCAGGCATCACTGTTATAAAGTGTTACTTAGAAATGACAAGGAAAAATATGTACATGTTGTGTTCAGTGCCTATGCAATGTCCCTGAATGGTTTAGACTGAAGCTGGTTGAACTGGCAGCTATGGAGGGCCAGAGAACTCTACATGGTGAAATACTGTTCAGCCTTAGAAAGAAAGCCATCAGATTATCAGTAAACCTGAGGATATAAAGTTAGATGAGATAACCCAGGCCCAGACAGACAAATGCTATATGATCTCATTTATATGCAGAATGCAAAAAAGCTGATCTGGAAACAGATTAAAGTGATGGTTAAGTGAAGCTGGGGGAGAGGGAGGACAGAGAGATGTCAGTCAAAGATGAAATGTGAGAAGGATGAGTATAGAGATCTACTAGACCCCTGGTGACCAGCCTCAACAGGAATGTAGTGTGCATCTGAAAAGTGGGTTTTAAGTGGGATCATACATGTGTTAAACAGATTGAGTTGTTTATCACATAGTTTACACACGTTTTCTATCATGGTATACATCATAATTATGTAATTTCAGCTGTTAATAAATAAAATAATACTACAGTTAGGGAAAGTAAAATTTATTTTAAAAAGTTTTTATAGAACCACATATATGATAATTTTGAAAAATATTATGTTTAGGCAGGAAGAGTGCCATAGTTTAGAGAGAGAGACTATCTTGGTCTACTGTATGTGTTCCGTACCAACCAGGGCTACACAGTGAGTCTCTACTTTAAAATAACAAAACAAAACAGTATAGGGCTTATTTATTTTCAACAATATATAGTTATAATTTATTTCTTTTATGTAAGTGTATTTATGTGCACTGCCTGCATGCAGTACCCATAGAAGGCAGAAAAGCGTGCTGGATCCCTCGGTACTGGAGTTAACAGCAGCTGGGAGCCTGGGAACTGAACCTAGGTCCTCAGTAAAAGCAGCAAGTACTTGTAACCACTGAGCCATCTCTTGAACCCCATATACATATATTTTAAGATTTGTAATGCTTACATACCATATGCTTAAAAGACCCTAAAGTTCTTTGGTAAACATAATAAATGAAAGCATAGTTTGCATCACCTTCTTTATCACACCAGGTTGCAAATCCAATGTACAACGTACAACTAGAGAAAATACTGCAGAGAAGTACTGCCTGGAGAACTTCTAAAGGAATAGTTTGAAATAGTCCCACGTTTATTTCTGAATACTCACCAATTAAACAGAGTAATACCAAAGGCCTCTCAAAACTTAATGTGGTACTGAGTGTTATGGTCTGGATCTTAAGTGCCATCAAAAGCTCATGCTGAACATTTGATCATTATTAGTGGTGCTACTGGGATTCGAGGAGCATTTTGGATGTGGGGCATGGAGGAATCAGGCCCTTGAAAGGTATGTTAGGGAACTCCTTCCTCACTTCCTGGTAGCCACTAGAGCTGCAGGTCTGTTCTACCACATGTCTGTTTGCAGTGGTTTGAATAGGTGTGGTGCCCGTAGACTCATGTGTTTGAATGCTTCCCCCACCAGGGAACGGCACTGTTAGGAGCTGTGGCCTTTTTGGAGTAGGTGTGACTTTGCTGGAGGAATTGGGTCATTGTAAGAGCAGGCTTTGAGGTCTCAGATGCTCAAGCCAGGCCAAGTGTGGCATTCATTCTGCTGCCTGCAGATCAAGATGTAGAACTCTCAGCTTCTTCTACAGTACCATGTTTGCCTGCATGCCGCCATGCTTTCTGCCATGACGATGGACTAAACCTCAGAAACTGTAAGTCAGTCCCAATGAAACAGTTTCCTTATAAGATATGCTACAGTCATGATGTCTCTTCACAGCAACAAAATCCTGTTATTTTGATGTTGGTTGTGGTAGTATGTTTGTGTGCATGACTACTTTTAGTTTTGCTGTAGTGAGGTTATTGATTTCCTGTGTTTTCCTGGGTGTAGTTAGCCTTCTTGGGTTGTATTTTTCCTACTAGTATCTTCTGTAAGACTGGATTTGTGGGCTGGTACTTTTTATTTATTTATTTTTTTAAAGATTTGTTTATTTTATTATGTGCCTGCATGCACACATGGATGTCATAAGAGGGCACCAGATTTCACTATAGATGGTTGTGAGCCATTATGTGGTTGCCGGTAATTGAACTCAGGACCTCTGGAAGAGCAAGCAGTACTCTTAACCTCTGAGCCATCCCTCCAGCCCGGGTTGGCACTTTTTAAATTTGTTTTTGTTGTTGAATATCTTGTTTTCTCCATCTGTGATGACTGAGAGTTTTGCTGAGTACAGTACTTGACTACTGTGCAAAAAACCATGGATTCAATTTCTGGACATGGGAAACAATATCCACTTGAATAGAAAAATATTCCTCCTTCACTTTGTAGGAGTTTTGTGGTAGTTTCCTCACTATGCTCCCTTTCCATCCTTGTTGAATGGTAATATATATTTTGTGGTGTTATATATTAAAAGTATGTAATCTGCTTTTTGATTTTGATTTTATAAGGGATTACAGTTAAGAGACTGCATGAGTCTCAGAAAAGATTTAACTTTGGACTTTTAAACAGTGCTGACACTGAGATAAACTATGGGGACTTTGGAAGTTGTACTGGATACACTTCTGTATTCTGTTATGGCTACAGGTCTGTGGGGGCCAGGGAGTAAAGTGTGGAGGTTTGGATAGGAATGGCCCTCATGCACTCGTGTCTGAATGCTTGGCCCATAGGGAGTGACATTATTAGGAGGTGTGGCCTTGCTGGAGAAGTGTGTCACCATGAAGGTGGGCTTTGAGGTCTCAGATTCTCAAGCTAGGCTTAGTAATGCATTTTCTTCCTGCTGCCTCTGGAGTTCCAGATATGGAACTCTGAGCTTCTTCTCCAGTACCATGTCTGCCTGGCTGCCACCATGGTTTCTGCCATGATGACAATGGACTAAACTTCTGAAACTATAAGCCAGGCCCAATTAAATGTTTTCCTTATAAGATTTGCTGTGGTCATGGTGTCTCTTCACAGCAAGAGAAAACAGAGATCCTTCCATAATTGTCTCCCCCCCACACACACCCTCCACGATGGTCTGTTGGAAGGACCCTTCTATTTGAGATTGCAGCCCTCCCAGTCCAGATAGCCACTCTTAAGCTTGGTGCTATGGTGCAAGACTCCTTGTCCCCGGCAGGGCCTTGTGCTTTATGCCTTATTCCTCTGGAGAGTTTCTCTAGACAGAGATGCTCCTAGCCGCATTTGATATATGGCCTTTGACACAGCTTCCTACTAGCTCTCCCCAACCTGTGCCTATAGGATAGATAATTAGGTACTGTGTTCCCATTCACCTGATAGGAACATGCTGTTTAATGTAAATCAAGCATCCTTCAAGTGCTTAGTTCCAACCAAATATGTACACCTATCCCTGGCGCCCCCCCCACCCATTCTCCAAAGGGTATATAGCTTTTGTTCTCTGGAATTAAAGCTGAACTAGCTCCCAGAAGCAGTTCCCAGGTGTGTGATCCCTGTACAGTGCTCACCGGCCATTCCAGGCACACTCCTTGTCTAGTCCCCTTCCTGGCTTCATGGGCTGGTGGGAGACAGCCCCTAGGCAGGAGGAGAACAATGGCCTACTTTGTCACAGGCCTCAAATAACCTGGTGAGTGATCTGAGTTGCAATCTCTGAAACCATTAACAAATATTGCTTACTTAAGATCTAGTTAAGCACAGAGATGATGATTAAACTTTCTGTCATTCAGCTTGCCTAGTACTGTCTCTCTTCTATCCTTACCATCTTCTGCTTCCTTTAAATGCTTATCCAGGTGGCTCTGAGAGAACCTGTAAGGAGTGACTCACCTCTGATCATCCTTTCCCAACTTCAACCTTGTTTCTCCACAAGTCTCTTTCTTTATGAGTGTGACAATTCTCACCAGCCTTCTTTGAAAGCCAGGAATGTCGCAGAGGAAGTACACACATACGTGTGTGTGTGTCTGTATGCATATGTATATGTGTTTGTGTGTGCATGTGTCTATGTGTATGCTCACCTCTCTATGTGTGTGCCTGTGCTATTTTGCTTTCTGTTGTTTTGATCTTTGTGGATTCTGTAGGGACTTCTGCTCCCAAAATGGTTGACTGTGATTTATTAATTCATTCCCTCAAGCACTTAGTGTATTTACACCGGCCATAAAATTTCAGGTGAGATACCTGCCCTTCTGTCATTGAAGAGGGAGAGGCTGACAGGTAAGCAAACGATACAGTATACAGTGAGATATAAAGTAAAGCTGAGTAAGGTCTAATGTAAACACAGGTTTCTATTTTTCTTCTCTTCTTGAGGGGACATGATGTGCCCCATAACAGGGTGTTTTGCACTTGGTGTTAGTCAAAGATACAAATGAGAAACAGCAAAATACAACTTACTGAGTGTGTAGAAAGGCCTCTGGCTTGGGAAGTGTGAGAAGAATCCAGGCTTTAATGCATTTGTAATCACAATGTCAAAAAGGTCTGCAAAATCCTTCCTAAAAAAAATAAAGTAAATTTACCTTAAGGAATTAGAAAAGTTCTATAGAAAACAAAACTTAATCTTCACCTATGCATTTTATAATGACATAATTGTTCACCCTTTGAGCAACTTTCATATGCTTTAAATGTTAGCATAATGTCCTTTTGGAATATATACAATTTATGCTTGTTCATTCAAATGCTGATTTCTTTACCCCACTATATGGTTTCAATCTGGACAATGCATTGTGATGCTTATTCTAAGCATCACCTGTCTCAAGTTTATGTAAACATGCCACCATTTGTTCTCTGTATTGTTAATAAAACATCCAGCCACAATGCTGAGCAATGGAGAGAATAGGGTGGGACATCCTGGTCCAGAGGGGAGGAGAACGAAGTGAGTGGGAGGGTAGGAGAGCAGGAATGGGCTGGAGAGGACTTTAAACCATGAGGATAGATGAACTGGACCTAAGATATAACTAAAGGCAAGTATAATGGGCAAAATCTGAATGGTAGAAAACTACCATTCAGAAGGTTTAGGATGGAATAACTATTGCCCAGCATTGTGCTCTAGGTTAATTAAATAAATCCAAGTCATTGTGTGGTGATTTGGGTATACAGCTGGTTTAAGAATAACCACAGATTAACTAAAAGATAAACCAATAGTAAATATTAATGTTCAAAAACATTTAAATTTTTCTTATATACTTTAAGTTGGAAGTTACGCTAGAAAGAGAAGGTGGATGGGTGCTAGCCAGTTTTTCTGAAAATATGACAATTAGGTTAAAGCACAAATATAACAAAACAAAAGGAAGTGAGAGAGGCGGGGAGGTAGCTAGTAAGAGCACAGAAGCTGTGCTAACCTAGACTCAGAACTTACTCTCTCCTGAAAACTCCATGTTTTCAAATCTGAGGAATGAAATTCGCAAGTACTTATTTAGTCTGAAGAGTCAACAGATTTGACACTATATAGGCCATACAGAAAGCAGCATTACATGAAGCCTGGTAATAGTTCTCAGAGTGTTTTCAAAACACAAGGAAGGCACTTTATTTTACAACCAGTATAGTCCTGTGGCAATTTTTAGGTGACAACATTGATGTATACTGAGAGGTATGCTAAGGACCATCCGATGCAGGGTGGTTTTCCCTAGGGCTCACATCACCCTAGAGAAACAGTGCTCCAGAGTGCGTTAATAAGTGAAAAGTGCAAAGACTAGAAACCAAGATCAGAAGCAGGATTTTGGTTATCCATGCTTGTGAAAATGGGAACTGAAAGCCCTGTGTGTTCCGACGCATGGTCCTACGCCAGGGCTGCAATGGTATCCCAAAGAGGTGCTCTCTCCAGACACCTGGACACTAGCCTTAATTTGCTGCAAGTGTAGCCTCCTGTGTACTTTTCAGAAGACAGAAAGCCCATCCCCAGGTCAGTATACCACAGAACAAACTACATCTGCACACATGCTAAAAAACGTAGAAATCCCAGGGCTAAAGATTACTGATGGAGGGAAGATGAAAGGCTACAGCTTGGTTCACACTCAGGGCTACTGTGTTTGCTGAGATGTGAAATCTTAGAAGAATTCTAATAACCTTCCGGGGAATCCGGCTTTGATTATGGGCCTTCCCTGGTATTGCCAAGAATGATATATGTAAGTTTAATAATCATTAAAACTTACCAACTATTCTGCCCAATATGTATGACTGACTAGAACGTACTCTGCACTATGTAAACATGCCCTCATATTTACTAGGAATAATCATGAGTCCCAATTCTAAAACAATGAAATTGAGGCTTGAAAAGTTATAAACTGTATTCTTGGCCACATAGAAAGTTGTAAAGAAGGGCCTGAATCATGTGTGTCTCTTTTATTGCCTTGATTTTATATTAACGCACCCCTGGCTTTGCTAAAAGGCACAGTATTTGCATCTGCACTGAAATGGACACAGGGGCTGCTTCCTGCAATCTGTCAGGGAGTGTATTCTGAGGTTGGTCCTTGGTGATCACCCAAAGCTGATCAATGAAATCATGAAAAAAGGCGTCACTTACCCAAGGGTGTAATTGCCAAGAAGTTTACAGTAATCACTGTGAGAACTGGTGATCAACATAGTAATTTTCCCAGCATCCTTCAGCTGCTGAAGCCACTTTCTTACAGACTCAGGACAGCGGTACACATATTTGCCCACATTTCGTTTTATTTCTGGATAGAAGAATCCACAATTTTCTGAAAAATAAAAAAGAAAAGGCAATATGTTTAATAAAAACATTTTAAAACTTAGTTTAATCTCAGACAAGCACAGGTCTTTTTCAAAGATATAGAAAAATAAAAGGCATAAAGACCAGGTTCTAACAATCTAGCCATTATGCCAATGCTAAATACTTGTTGTTTGTTTGAGACAGGGTCTCTCTATGGAGTCCTGGCTGTTCTGGAGCTCGCTATACAGACCAGATTGGCTTTGAACTCACAGAGATGTGTCTGTCTCTGTCTCCCAGTGCTAGGATTAAAGGTGTCAGCCACTACACTTCTTGCCCTAACTGCTTTTAAAAATAGTATTTCTGGGGCTATAGAGATGGCTAAGTTGTTAAGAGAGTGTATTGTTTTTGCAGGGGACTTGAGTTCAGCTTCCAGCACCCATATTAGGCAGCTCAGTGCCTTTAATTCCAGCTCCAGTGCCCAGTGTCCTTTGTTCTTTGCAGCACTTACATTCATTTAAAATATAACATAAAATGTCATGATAATTGATAATACTATTTCATAAGAATCAATAAATTAATATAGTACCATATCACCAACATTTCAAAACAGAAAAAAGCTCACTGTATTTGAAGTTAAGTGAATAATAAATAACCAAAAAATACTCACTGAAAACACCTAAGAGCCAAACATTCATATATTGCAACAGGAGCCTGTCTTTGGCATGAAGCAGCTATTCAGCCAGCTGTATCCTTTAGAGGCACAGTAGTGTCACTTCAGAAGAAATACAAACCTCTATAGCAAGGTACAGCCACTGAGAGGTGCCAGAGCAGAGCTTCCAGACAAGGCTAGAAGGCACTCAAAGGCTAGAATGGCTAAACTGAAGAGGTTTGCCATGGCTCTCATGGCATTGAGCAACTGCAGATTTTGTTGGAAGGCTACTGGATTCGTAATGCATTTTAGAACGACTGTTTTCTAAGCACTATAGTATTAACAATCAGAGAAGGAAATCTAAGTTCTTAGCTTCTTCAAGGCTAAGAAGAACAGGGCAAAGACAGAACAAGAGGTTAAATGGTTTGTACTGACTCTGTAAGTAGGTATGGGCTAGTCCTGTGACTGTCTAATGATATACATGAAATAGCAGAAATGAAGGTTCTAAGACTATGAAGGCTACATTTTAAGACACTCCGGATACCAATTCAGAAGTGACTCTACCTGAAACAAACAAAAATAAAGCCTGAAACAGTAGCAAACACTGTTTCCTGCCTGCCCAGGTCCGTTGCTGGAGAATACTATAATTTGTATCAAGTTTCATTCTCCTTTCAGGGGCCTTGAACGCTCAGTAAAATCCTGGTCTTTCTGTCCATACACACAATGATAATTTTCTCCACTTATCAGCAAATTTCTCAGAGAGGTGCAGAGAACCATATGTAGCCAATGAACGCCAGAGAAAAAACTGCAGGAGTAAGGGGCCCTGGAGTAGTGATGCCACTGAGGATAGGCTAAAGTATCCCTCTCTGGTTACTCAACGTTGCCATAATCACAAATAGATCCATAGCAGGAACCTTCAACACAAAGTACAAGTCAGGGGTGGAAGAACAGAAACATGAGGGGCACTTGGTCTCCTGATAACACCAGTGTGTCTCAGGACAAGCTACTGAGTTAACAAACCTCTAGATGACATTTGCTTGTGTGAAATAAGCTCAATTAAGCAACAGCCTCTCATTAAGAACACCTATTGGGTAACCTTAAGCATCATATGCAGAAAACAATACAAACAATGACATCACAACCACACTAGAATATAGCACAAGAGAATATGCTACATTAAGAGAACAGACAGCAGATGATCAGGTAGAAAGGCACAGGTTTTGGCACAGTTCTCTTTGTATTTGGTCCCAGAACGACACATGTGAAGTTTTCTAGATTACTAATGTTTTAGAAGTTACCCAACGACCCTTAACAATTAAAATATATTTTGTTTCTCAGCAAAAAGAAGGTTCTGTAAGCAATAAAAGGATATTAAGAAAAAAACAACAAACGCAAATGGCTGAGATTATAACTGTGTAACAAATATTGGCCACAAGTAATTTCAGAGGCTTTACATGTTAGAGTGGCATTTTGTAACATAAATTTTACATCTGATTTATAATTTTAAGACACTCAGGCTACCAATTCAGAAGTGACTCTACCTGAAACAAACAAAAATGAAGCCAGAAACAGTAGCAAACACTGTTTCCTCCCTGCCCAGGTCCGTTGGCATGATGCCAAAAATGTTCACAATCTTTTCTGGAGGCAGAAAATATTTTCCTTGGCTATGTGTGTCTACTGCCCTCTAGCGACTGACAGACTGACACGCAGATGGCTATTAAAATTAGTGTTAACCTTTACAACGGATAGAAAAAAAGCATATAAAATTTAAAAGCACAATTTAAATCCATTAATTAAATGAATTAAGTAAAATTAATCATATATTAGTTTATTAGCAATTTTTGGTAAGTCTAACACAATAAGGCAAATATACTAAATTAGGGGAGATCATTAATATGGGGCTACCCTTTCATAAGCAATTGAATAGGACAGACTAGAAAAAAACAATCCTGTTTAAAGAAACGCCAGTGGTAAATTACAAGCTGTGTGTGTTACAAAAGATCACAGGCTGACACACCTAAGTAATCTCAAATCATTATCTGTGTGTGCACGCACGCACGCTCGCTCATGTGTGTCTACCTGTGTGGACACAGAAGACAACCTTAGATACATTTTCAGCATCATTCACTGGCCTGGAGACCTCCAAGTAGGCTAGGCTGGTGGCCAATGAGCCCTAGGGACCCACTAGTTTCCACCTCAGCTGTACTGAACTTATTAAGCAGGCAACACCATACTTGGCTTTTTGTGTAGAGTTTGGGGTGTAAGGTGTGGGGTGTGGGAACCAAACCCAAGTTCTGATGCTTGCAAGACAAGGATTCACCAAGCCATCTTTCCAGGATACTCAAACCATATTATTCAACAAACTTTAAAATTACATTCATTTATTGTGTGTGCACACTTATCATGGAACACATGTGGAGATCAGAGGACAGCTCCAGGGTATTCTCTCCTTCCACAGCTGTGAGTCCCAGAAATTGAACTCAGGTGTTAGCACTGGTAACAAAAGCCTTTATCTGCTTAGCTCTCTCTACCATTCTCTAACCATATTCTTATTAAGAGATGATTATAGAATTATAGTTTTTCTACTAAATGATTTCACCAAGAAATTAAACTTTGAAGGCATGCAATGTATCTTTCTGCTTAGCATGAAGCTGTCAATCAAAGCATGAATGCTAGGTTAGTATAGGAGAAAATACAAAAACACTTATGTTTTTATATTCAAAGTAATAACATGACTTGTACCATGCTGCCAAACTGTACATAAAAAAAATATCTATATTCACTAAATAATGCTGCAAAATAATTTGTATCTAAAGTTCTGGTCCATATTCACCATTATAAAATCACATTTAATATGATACCAACAGATTAACACTAATTGGATAGGCAGGGAATTCAGATCTAAGGTAGAAAGCAACAACCTTTTTTTGTTCTGAACTTGTAAAGAAGTCTGCATTTTCACTTAAGCACTGAAGGAATTCTATTTCATTGCCATTTTATGGAATTCATTTCCCTGACTTTTCCACCACCCCTCTTAACTCGTATTTTCTGTGTCCAAATGGAAAGGAAAGTAAAATTCCAAAAGGCTGACTTTAAAGAAAAAAATTAGCTCTCTTATGTTAAAAACTTGGTTGATCCAGCATTGTGGAACAGTTTGCTGTACATGGAAGGTGGCCAGGAGGAACCAGGCAGGGTTGGGAGACCTCTTGTGGTCAGAGGAAACTGGTACAACTTAAATATTGAAAACTGTTTCAGCCACATCACTATTGCTATCACTTCTCTTGCTACTCTACTCAGCTGCCACCATTGCTCCTGTGACCCAGGGCAAGAGCTGTCAGAGCTGTGAAGGGGAAGGGGATGCTGTGATGCCAACACCTCCACCATCACCCTCCAACTAAGGTCTGTTGCTGCTGCCACTGCAAAACATAACTGAGGAGATAGAAAATATCATCTCCACCAGTGAGATAAGAGCATGTTGGTAAACCACCAAATATTTTACCTGAGGGTTATTAAAATTATATGCAGTGTAGATGATCCAATTAATTATTTTCTGAAAAAATCTTTATATATGAAAGACAAGAGATATTTATTGGAGGAAGAAAGAGGTAAATTTCTTTTGTGCATTTATAGACAGCAAAGGATACAACCAAAATTTAAAAAAAAAATAGATTTCCCATTTACAGTCTTTGTACTGCTCTAATGATTTATTTGTACATAAATACATATGGATGAATGTGAAAAATCTGTATGCTAAATAGAATACTCAGAAAAGGACCCCAAAGAAGAACTGGAAAATGAGGTACACAATACAATGAAAAAAAAAAAGCCATGAAATATACTTTTAACAATATTTTATTTCTGTATCTATAATTTAATTCATATACCTATGTCTCATTCCAAAGATCTGACTCAACTGGGCTGGGCTACAATATGGAAATGTTTTGAAGATCCCCAGGTATTTCTAGGGTGACATTATGTTAGAAGAACTGCTCTAAATATGCACACTCAGTTTTTCTGCAATTATCCCGTAGTTTGTATGTGACCTTGGAAATCACAGGCTTTCCAAGAAAGGGCATTTTAGTTGTAAAGTATCTCTATTGGCTAAAGTGTACTTCTGTTCATGATAAAGGAAACCCATACATGTTACTGGCTGTTGGTTATGTTTTGTATATTTCTGTGTATGTGTGCTGCCAATGCTATAGAAAGTGCAACTTGCGGGAGTCATTTCATTTCTATCATGTGGCCTCTCAGGTCCAAACCCAGATTGTTGGGCTCGGCAGCAAGTGTCTGCTTTATTAAATACTGAGTCATCTTGCTGACCCAACCACTGATTATCTGAAATTCTATTGTGGGTGATATCTTTAAAATGTTTAAATTAG